AGGGACCTGAAAAGTCAAACAAATCTTGAAAAAGGAGAGCAATGTTGGAGGACTCACACATCCTGATTTCAAACTCACTACAAAAATAGTAATTAAAACAGTGTGTTACTGGAATAGGGATAGACATATAGACCAATGGAATAGATTTGAGGATATAAAAATCAGCCCATATATCTATGGCCAATAAATTTTCAACATAACTGTCAAAACTATTCAATGGGGAAAAGAACAAAGAACAGTCTCTTTAACAATTGATGCTGGGACAACTGGATTTCCACATGCAAAAAAAATCTGAGGGAAGCACGTGTAGGAAGAAAGTTTTAAAAATGGCTTACTTGTTACACCAATAAGAGTTGTAATGGCCAGATCCTGGAACAGAAACTGGTAATTTGATAGACTGTTGATCTCCTGAAAACAAAAAGGAAAGCAGCTCAAAAAAGTATGACCTTCTGAGTGAAGTTTGACATCATCTGCATTCATTTTTTCACTGCAATATAGGATTATCTAAATTACCAAGGAGATAGTGTGGTGAGGGTCCTGTTGATGTTGGTGAGAGCACCAAAGACAAGGCTGCTAAATCCTGTCTAACCAGGAGAGCCATAACCATGTGCTTTAGGCTGGGTCCTTGGTGAGTAACTATCACCCCTTGTTGAGGAAAACACCTCACTCTGCTAGATTCATCTCTGCTATCTTTTCTACTTGTTAGCAGAAAAGTTGGGCTTTGTCCTGGTACAATAAAACAGTGCATTCCCAGTAGTAAAAAGTGATAAATGTGTGGTGATCTTACCGATATTTTACTGATAGAAAAACAACAATAACTAAACCAACTGTTTGCATTCTTGGCTGTTGTTAGAAAGTCCTGATAAAGCACCTTGATATTCTTAAGGAAAAAACTGTTTAGGTCTTACTGATTTCAAGTAACTTACTCCCTTGCCCCCCGCCCCTTGGTGGAAAGGAGATAATGATGACCCACATTTAACTCTACTTTTGAGCAAGAGTTATTGTGATTCCAAAATAGAGCCAAAGTTCTATAAATAGTCTCTGCTCCAAATCCTTCATTAGTAAGTAGGAAAAGACATAGGTAATCTGAAAATCACAGAACTAAAACTTTCAACCCAGGAGCAAGACGGCAAGACATAGGGAGAAATCTAGATATCTCCAGCACAAATGGAATCTCCTTTCTCAATGCTGGCTAATAGAAAAAAACACCTACAGGTTGAGTCCACATATAGTAGTCATGTATTTTCTCCTTTTATGTTTCATTAAATAGTAAAAGCCATCACAAGACCTATGTATTTTTTGAGGTGTGATATGCCAAATTTTAAATCCCTATCTATATTCAGGAAATCAGTGATATGCTGACTTGCACTGCTTCGTGAGGGTCCATTGCTAGGTTTTCAGGAATTTTGTGAACTGGTTGCTAAACATAGCCAATATAAAAACTTAAATCATACAGACATACCATTAAATAAATTATACTGAAAACAGAGGTAATAAATACTCAAAACTTAGCACTTCCTAATCATTTTCCTACATTTTCCTGTTATCTATGCTTTTGAGGTTTTTTGCAACTCTTGTGTCTATATGGTGCAAATACTACATGATGGCATGCTACTGTACATCTCTCCCCGACTACACATTCAAGTGACACCAGGTAAATAGCTTGAAAACAGCCCAGTGTGAGTAGTGTGAGTATTTACACCACTGAAATTGGCAAACATTAATAATCAGAGCTTGTTTTTCCAGAGAAAGAGCCAGTTATGAAACACATACCAGCACCCCAATTAGAGACTCATCTTTAATAGATGGTAGGCTAGGGGAGACACACACTGGAATTGGGGAGTCAGAGACTGGGTCTTAGCAGGTGAAAGCAACAGTGAGACAGTGATTTGCTCTGTTCTAATCCTCATCTACCACTAGATAAAAAGTTTCTCTGTCAGTCAGAGAATTCACACCAAAAAATTTTCCTGTGAACGTCTGTTTATTTCTGATTTATTTTCAAAAACTTTAGGGCCAGCCGAGTGGCATGCTGGTTAAGAGTTGGCTTGGGAGCGCGAGCTCTGAGCAGCAGGGCCCCGGTTTGGATCCCGCATGGGGGCCAGTGACACTGCCCTCCATAGCTAAAATGGTGAACAACAGCTCGACCTGGAGCTGGGCTGCCGTGTGTCGCCAGCTATGGCATAGGCTGCAGCCTCTGCTGCAGTGGGTTGCCATGGGCTACCATGAGTGGCCGGCAGCCAGCATGAGTGGCCAGCAGCCGGCATGAGCTGCCATGAGCCTCCGTGAGCGGCCGTCCAATGGCCGGCGAGCAACTGCCTCACCCGGGAAGAGCGCAATGATCATAATACCAACATGGGCCAGTGAAGCGACATCCTCCACAACTAGACTGAAGGACAAAAAGGTCAGCAACTTGTCTGTTCCCCTTCCCCGATTCCCCAACACTGTTCCCCTTCCCCAATCCCCTAATAAAATCCTAAAAAAAACCTTTAAAGATTGTTTCAGAGGGGGCTGTTAGTGCTCAACTATCCCATTTGCACTTTGTTTAAGAAGCATTTTGAGTTGAGAGTGCCCAGCCCCTAGGTTCATTTCTCACTAACCAAGTGGCTAGGCCCCAAGTCATACCCAGTAGAGCAGCAGGACACCAACATACTGAATCATGCTGTACAGAGCCATGTACTTGAACATGCAGAATGAGGTAACGAGAGCTGCACGCCCTTCCCTGTGTGAGAAAAGAAAGGAAAAAGTAATGAAATGAAAGTAATGGAAAGAAATGAGGTCAGTTATTCTGTGCTGTTCAGATGAGCTCAGGAGAAAAGATCAGAAGCCTGATTATTTGATCAAAAGACTGGACAGCCTTGAGCCAGTGGGACCTGGCTGTCAGTATGCTAAATGACTAGATTTTCAGGAAAGGCCAATTCCAGTCCAAGGTACACAGGCCTTGATCCAGCCACAGAGCCAGGTTGAGAGTTCCTTTTGTCCATTCCACAGGCATTATTTCAGCTGAGAGTCAGAGGACCTGGGAACAGGTCCCAGATCTCACACCTCCTCACTAATGTGATTTGGAAGGTCATGTCCCTTCTTCTAGTCACAGCTTCTTCATCTGTGAGCTGAGGAATTTAAATAAGATTGCAAGTTGGGGGCGGGAGTGTGTGCAATTTTCACGCAGGTGCTTCAGGAGTTTGGCAAACATTTCATTCCAATTTTATATGGCCATCCCAACTTTTCCTAAAACTGGACTGAAATAATATGCACACTCAAATTAGTCATATGTCGAATTTAAATAGACTGGGAACAGTGAGCTACTGTTGTTTGAGTAAATAGTATATATTCAAAGCATGAGGTAAAGTACTTATGAATTGCCACCTTTATTTCTTTCATTTTGGAAAAAAATAGCATTTAGATTTACTTCTGGTCCTAATGGTTTCCTGGGATTCCAAAGCCTGATCCCCATACCTGTATCAGGGCTTTACTGCTGCCATTTGTTTGGCCTAGAAGATATTATAGTTTCTCCTTCTCCTTTACCTCCTTAGAAGGCTTTCCCACACCACCTGAGGCAGCCAATTCCACTGCCCCCGTCATCTTCCTACTGTTCATATTACCCTTGATTTATCTATGCATGTGTTTATTGCCTGACTTCTTCATTGGAGAAAAACTTCATGAGATCAAGGGACATCTGATTTACTTTCTTCTGGCTGCTCAGTGCCTCCAACTGTTCCTAGCACTAATGTGTACATTATAAATATTTGTTGAATGCATGAATTTAAAAAAAAAAATGGGAGGAGCTAGCCAAATCATTATTTTAATGTGGCGGAAAGAGTATGATATTTGTAGATAAACACATTTAGACAAAATTAATTCTAATGCAATCTCCAATCCTATATGGCTGTGTGAGCTTAGGCATATCAATTAAGTTCTCTGAGCCTGACTTTCCTTGTTTGTAAAAGACATAGTGGCCATTTCTGCACCTGCAGGATTTTCAAAGTATAAAATAATAGGCATTGAAGTTTACAAATTTAATTAACTGCAAACATAAACTAATTATAATAACCAAAAGCAGACACAATGCTAACCATCTCTATCATTCAAATAAAATGCAGCAGAAGTACATATTTGGAGGTGGGGCTGGAGGGAATAAAGCACCAAGGGAAATTTTAGTTAGAGGAGCAAAGATAAATAACTTTTGAAAACTAAGGATGGGAAGAACATTCCAAGGAAGCATAATGAGGCAAAAAACAAAAAAAAAGGGCGAAGGCCAATGGAGAAGAGAAAGTTTCTCTTAATTCCCCATTATAAAGTTTCTAAGGAGACACATTTAAATTGTTATAATAATAATAATAACGATATGATTAACACTTTCAAAGCAGGAAAGAGTACAGATTCCAACCTTCTAATTATAACCTATTTAGTGATTTTTATTAGAAATGCCACTACTCCCCCAGGGGTATTTTTAACACTTGGTACTCCACTTGGAAATACAATGTTTCACCACATTCTCTTGCAAAGCACCCTCCCCTCCCAAGGACACAATTTCCCTGGTCTTTGACTGGCAGTACCATGGGATCTGCACCTAAAAGTAGGGAGAGATTAAAATCATGCTGGTGGAAAGTGACTACTTACTTGATAAGGTGAGGTACACACTCAATGTTTGGAGTTTTGGAAGTGAAAGGCGAGGCCACAGATGCTTCCTGCTCTGATAAAGAGATGCCCACATGAGCCATTTTCAAAGCCTGAAAGCAAAGAGTCAGCTTACTGTCACGCACACGCACATGCACCTCTCCTGAGGCCTCATAAGAAAAGCCCAGTTAAGGGACCACAAGGTGGCATGTGGGCTCAAGCACTAGCTAGGAGATGACCAGATTTTGCTCGGTCTGACACATAAGAAAGAGAAGGCACTGGGACACCCAGCCAAAGAAGTGGGGACTTCAGAACCAAACTCTACTTAAACTATAGTGACCACTGAGTCATTGTGTAGCTTTGGTCAGGACCCTCCCAAACTCTCAGCACCAGTTTCTCCATCAAGAGGAATAAAGATTGTATACATCCCAGGAGATACTCTTTCTACAGGGCTCCGGGCAAGTACAATCGAATGTGAGATTATGGTCCCACACACTGGCAACTACTTACCCCACAGTCATTCGCTCCATCGCCGCACATACCTACAAAGTAACTAAAGGGGAACCATGTCAGTTGTAGGAGAGGTCAAAGCACACTTACCTGCTAATTTCTCTAATTAAAAAAATAAAATGAGCTTCATTACTTAGGGTTCAAACTTATTATTTAGTTTAAGGGAGTTTCCCTAAGAGTCTGGTTTAACTAAAAAAGTGAAGTTTGACTCAGCACTTTCTACAATGGATTAAGAAATCCAGGACACCGTTTCCCAACTTCAAGTGTTTTCAGGGAGACCCTGAACTTCACTGTTTAGGAAGCAGCTCTGCCAGCTGTAAACGGGCTATTCACCACTATATGATGAGACAGCGTGGCATGGTAGAGAGTGCACAGGATGTGATACTACGAGGTCTAGATCATGTCAGTATTTGACTGTCTCTTTTCTACCCTACCAAGTGCTGTAAGTATTCAGTGAGGTGCTGTATGGGACAGTGCCTTATAAATTCTAAAATGATAAATAAGAATTACTTGTTGGTGATGTTAATAGTAACATGAGAGGAAATCTGCCATGTTAGCAGTCACTCAACTACAAAATGTAGTGCCAAGCCCAGATGGAAGAAAGAAAATACATCCCTGTTTCAGGATCGCTTTTTGTGGCTGGGAGAATACTTACTGCTCTCTTAAATTGTTGACCAAGATTATGGATAGTCTGCTTTCTAAGGTAAGAGCACTTTGACAGCATTTACAGAATTGTCTGTACTTCTTTTGTATACATTGCTGTATGAAGCAACTAGTTTACTAGCTATATTTTCAACCACATTGAGAAGACAGGGCTTTCTGAATTGAGAAGTTTGCCTAGTGACTGAATCAAATGAGTAGGAGGATGGAGTAGCGGTAAGTAGGATTCGTATCTATGTGTCCAGTACCAGCAGTAGCGGAAGCCGCCAGGACGCCATGGGTTCCTTTCACATGAAATAAAGGGCTCCAGATGATGGGCATTTTATCTGGGCCACCTATTCTCTCAAGAGAGAGCCTTTGTGTTAGAAGAAAAATATTCTTCTGATTTAAGATGGAGAGAGTACTTTGGCATAAGAATGTCTTAATAGTTTGAAGATGATGTGAGCCTTTTGTCATAGGAGTCTCCCTATATTACAACTTCGATGATAATTTGTAAAAATGAAGTCTAAATTTTCACCATTCCTTCAGGAGCTGACCTCAAATTACCTTTTCAGGCTTATTTCTCACCACATCCTTTTACGCCCCTTGTGTTCTAATTCAGTAGTTCTCAAGTCTGGGTACAAAATTGACTTATGTGAGGAGCTTTGAAAAAAATGTCCAAGCCCCATGTGATCAATTGAATCAGACTCTGTGGATGGTAGTGTCCTGATATTGCTATTTTTTCCAAGCTCCTGAGATGACTGTCATGTGCAGCCAGGTTAAGAACCACAGTCCTAGCTAAGCAGAGTGACTTCCTGTACCTCTTACACTCCCCCTGACTGCCATGCAGCCATGCACGTCACGCCACCTGAATTGGTAAAAAACCTACTCCAGTTTCTGGAATTCTTCCACCAGACTGGATTTCTGCCCAGGAGACATTCTTGCAAATATGGTCCCATTCATCAGTATCTGAAAGGAACCCAAAATGTTTATTATGTCAGCTGGTCATACATGAAATAATTGATAATACTCAGAATACTGACTGGGTAATGATATCCACGAGTAAGAAAAAAAGATTTGTTTTCCAAGAAGCCTTCCTTTGTATTTTAAGACAGGTGTTGAGACATTGGTCATCAGATAAGTGACCAGGGAGACCTAAACCAGTAAAGATGACTACTTAATAAAAATATTTGATGAAAATGATGACCTATAGAAATTTAGCTCAGCTGCCATGGAGAATATGGTCCTAAAAACTCCTGAGCTTAATGGAACCTTAAGCCAGTGTGAGGAATTGCAAGAGGTCAAGATCCCAGGAGAAGGAAAGGAAGCAACAGCTTCTTAGAAACTAGCAGAAAAACAGCCTAATGGTGAAATCGTAGCTATCTGTGATCTTTGACCTAACCATACAATCTGGACTTGACCAGCTGTGAAACTCAGTTAATATTCCAGACCTAATTTGGAGTATGTAACATTGATGATTTGATGGTATAAAAACTTATACCAGCTCCTTCCACCTGAGCTCCATTTTACAGAGTCTACACTCTTCTGTGTTAGATCTATATGCTTCCTGCTCTTCTCGGCAGTAAACTCAACCTAGTGTTCAGTGAGCCTCAAAGTCTCTATTCTTTTTTACTTAAGTAGCTCCTAAGATAATGAGAACTTGAATATGAATAATTTATCTTTGGGTTACATTGGACATAATCTTTCTCTAGCTTGTTCACATGTTATATATATATATATATACAACTTACCTGCCCCCACTATTGGTTTGTTCTTCCTCAGAAAAGCTTTGAGTTTCACTCTCTTCTATTTAAAGTTCCTCTATCAAAAACTTAATGAATTTTCTCTATTCCTGGCCTGACTTTCTTGTTGTTGCTAGATTTCCACTGTGAGACTCTTAATTGTGGCAATATAGTGACAGCTACCCAAAAGTAACCTTTATGACTTGGGAAGTCACTAATACTTTAATCCTCCAGGTGATAAAAAATTGGCTAATCAAGTTTACTTATTTTAAATCTAGTAGGAAATTCGACAACAGCAAGCTCTGTACAAATATCTGTCTCTCTTATGATACATTAATAGGTATATCTTACCTATTTAGAAGTTTGAAATTACTGAGGATCATGCTCTGTAAATGACTGTGTTGGCATCTTTACCAGGAGATTAGTATGCTCTTAGAACTTACCTTTGGCAGTAGGCTGCTAAAATGTTGATTTATAACCTGAAAGGATTTTCCACTTAGGGCAAAATGGTAACTTCCTTCTCTGCTATTATCAGAGTCTTCTTCCCAGATATTAATGTAATTGTCCTGCAAAGCAAGACACAGTTACTTTAGACTTGATAGAGTGGTTAGGACTACAAGCATACCTGAGAGAAGGTAATGATGGCAGTCTGGGGTTTCTCTTTAAAAGTTACAATCCAGCCCTGATTCCTCAGAGAAGCACTTCCCTTTTGCTAGATCAATCTTTGTACATCACAGCCTCTTGTGAATAGGAGAATAACACTACTCATGTCCTGTTCTCATCCCAATTTGATCTCAGTGAGTCCCAGAGAAGAGCACGTTTCACACATTTCGCACGTGAAATACAAAAGCACTGCAGCTTAACAAATCTCTCCCTAAAGTGAGAACTTACCATTTTTTTTTCTTACAGAATTAATATTCTTCCACAAGGACACAATAGAGATAGAATATTGACAATATTGACGATAAATGAATAAAACAGTTTTTCCCTCATCCTAAAGATACAGCCTGATTTTCCAATTCACACAGTAGCGTCTCTCCTAGGGACTAAATTCCCTTTGAGCCCAGCAGGGTGGCTGGCAAGCAAAGGAAAAATGGGAAATTAGATTCACAACCACCCCTCCATTACATTCTTTCTCATACAGAACCAACAATGTTTTTAAGTTTAAAAGAATGGATTATTTCAAACACCCAGGAAAACACTGTACCTTAAAGCTCAGTTGGAAAGATATGGAAAACTGAGTGCTTCACACTGCATATGTGTCAGACATTTGGAGAAATATTTTGACCCTACGTCACCTGTACACCTCTGCCAATCAAAGCTGCTCAATAGCCAATACTGACAGGCAAGTTAGATAATACAACAGAAGGTCACTTTTTAGGTATACCTGATTCCCATATGCAATGTGTTTCTTCTCTTCCACTAATTTCCAAGATATAGATGCTGATGAGGACCCAGGGGTTTCATTCGTTTCAATGAGAATGACTTTCTGGTCTTCAGAAACCATTCCAGACTTCCTGGCTACTGTTATCGCAGTCTGAAGATTGTCACCTAGAAAAAAGGAAGAGTATCCTAAAATGAGGTTAAAGAGATGGGGCCAATTTACATAGGGCCTGGAAAACTAAAGTGATGAGTTAGGACCTTATTTTAAGTGTGAAGAGAAATATCTAAGGTGTCTCTCAGCCCTCACCTTCCATGAATTCACAATCCCTTTTCCATCCTTTTTTCATCTCCAGAATTTTAGATCTCACTATTGGTGGGCCTTCAGCATAGGTTACAGACCAGGCTAGCTAAGCATTCTTCTTCTTCTAACATTTAACAATAAAAATCATCATCTTTGCATGAGTCATATCTTCTTCTCACCCCAGTGACATCTCAAATGTCCCCTCTCAGAGACAGCACCTCATCTAAAGCAGCCAATCAAACACACTATACCACATCACCTTGTTTCCTTGTTTTGTTTTATGTATGTCATAACACTTATTACTACCTGTTTGATTGATTAATTGATTGGTTGATTTTCTATCTCATCCTTCCTGAATGGAAGCTCAGTGAGAACAATAATTTTGCCTTTTTGTTGCCCATCTCCAGCACCTATTGAGTTGTCGGAAAAGTCATGACACATTTTTGCAATGAAAAACATAGAAAAATCCGTCATGACTTTTCCGACAAACCAATAGAATGGTGCCTGGCCCATAGTAGGTAGTCAACAGCATTTGCTAAATCAGTGAATCTATGTCTATTTCCACATCAAATTCTTACTGTTTTCTACTTTGTTCTATACCTGTGATCATTACTGTCCTTATCCGGGCTGAGATGAGCTCTTCCAGAACAGGTTTTGTCTCTTCCTTCAATTGATTCTCAAAGATCAGCAATCCCAGGAATATCAGGTCTGATTCTACCTTGTCTCTGGAATTATACATATAATTGAACAGAAATAGCACATCATAATCTCTCTTACAGGAAGCAAAACAAAGACAAATATCTTCCAGTCGGACTTGTTCCCACCCACTCATTCAAGCACCATTCCTGAGGCACTGAACATGTGCCAGGAACTATCCAGACAGGAAGGGGACACAGAGGACACCGAGACATCTACTCTGACTGAATCAAGAGGAAGAGAGAGTATTTATTAAGCAAAAGAATTGCTTTAACCTTTGTAGAGAATGAACTAAATGACAGCATAGGGCTTTTCCATCCATTGTGATTTTCGTCATCTCACCTATTGGCAACCACCAGACAGGTGTTCTACCTCTGGTCCAGAACATCATGAAAAATAAGTGAGGCACAGGGGAAATAAAATAAAATACCAGTTTCTCTAGAAACTAAAGCTATAATCAGTACCATTTCAGTCCCAGGAGGTATAAGGCCATAATCTCAAAAAAAGAAAAAAAAAGTCTCTCTTTAAAGGCCAACCTCCTCTCCACCCCCTGACCTTCAGCTGATAACATGGCTCTCCTACATAAAGTGTGAATGTTTTTGCAGCAAGTGAGGTCTCTGAAGCTCTCGTCCACCACAAGAACATTTCCAAGACATTCCACAGGAGCAAGTGCAGGGGAGTACATTTGAGTTTGGGTGCTCAAAGATTCTCCCATGATTCATTCATCTGAGACTCAGACACCTCTAGCAGAGGCAAGAACCAGACACCAGCACTGCCTATACCTGGGTGAAATACAGATGAAAGCAGTACCCAGAAAAGCTACCTTGTCATGCTTGCCATGTGTGCCTCGCATGGGCCAGGGACATGATGCTCCCAGGACAATGCTAACACCTCCACCAGAGTGGCAGGAAGTGGACACAGTTTCAACTATTTACCTCAAAACAGGCTCAGGAAATGACATTTCTTATTCTTCTGAACCTGGCATTTAAGTCTCTTCATAATCTAGCTCCAAGTTATCTTTTTAAGTTCATCTATCACTCAATTCTTTATTCACCCTAACCTCCAGCCAAGTTGGACCCTTCACCATGGGTATGTTCATGTTCTCTATTTAACCATCTCTAAACATTTGCTCTAGACTGCCATAAGCCATTCTTTCTCATTTCATGGGAAAGGATATAAGTTCCACCTGATCTGTCCTTGAAGCCCTTCTGATATTTTGAGGCCCAACACACATGCAACTTCCCCATAAAGGCTCCCCCAGAGAGAAATAT